CGGTTTTGAACAATGGCATAGATTTCCCCCTATCATTATTTTCCTTTGGCTCTTCAATGGAAGATCGGAAGGGAGGCAGGATGGCAAGTTCAGTGTGAGGGTTCGGATGCCTGTCACAGGATGGAAGTCTGTCCTGATACTTGCATAGTCTCTTAGACAAAAACCTTTCTAACACGGCCTTATGGGATGTACACCAACCTCCTCCATCACTAACCCTGGGTGGGGGATGTTAGAACAGCTTCTCATAAAATCCTGACCTTGTCTTTGTCTGTCTCCTATTCTCTCTCTCTCTGCCTCTTTCCTCCTTCCCCTTTACCCTCACCCTTCTCCCTTTCCTCCATCTCTTTCTTTTCTGAGCTTAGGAAAAATTTCTTGGGACTGTCACTGAAAAATAAATTAGTAAGCCCCCTTTACAACCCTGTATAGTTCTTTGATTTCTCTTTCCTTGATTCTTTATATGTTTCTTTTCTGATCTCTTTTTCACTTCTGTTGCACATAACTACCCTCTTTCTATCAACTTCCTTAGTTTTACTTGCCCAGGGATTTCTGGGCACTTGATTTGGGAATCCCCAACAGGAACTCCTAAGAATTCTGGGGACAACCTTTCCAGTATTTCAAAGGGTATGGCAGTGTGGTGGAGGTTGCTAGGGGATAGTAACAAAGACAATGAAAACAGAATTTAATGTGTGGCCTTTCTTTCCCCAAGTATGCTCAATGCAACGGTTTGGCATTGGCTGTAATGAATCTCCTAGGTACCTCCTGGTCACTAGGAAGTTCATCGGCTATATAATGATGTCTTTCACTAGTACAGCCATCTGGCGACCTGGAGTTGCAGAGACCCTGACCTAGCATCTTGACAAGAACATGAAGTTGCTTGGGATACCAAAGAACCACCAGTCTCCAAGATTCAATACTGAGCTCTAGAGCCATTCTGTGATATTGACAGCACCAGGGTGCATTCTCCAGTGGACCTGGGACCTGGGGATGGATTTGTACAGCAGAGTGTTAGACTAGTCTTTGACAAACACTGTCAATGAAATCCCCCGGGTAGCTGAGGAAACATAAACCCCTATTGCTTCTCACCTGGCCCATTTTGTTGGTGATGAAAACTGTAAGAATGAGCTCAGCATAAAGTTTCCTACTTTTTCCTTGGCTAGAGATAAGAAATACACTACAGTAATAGCTGAGGCCTCCAAGCGGGCCGACACTTGGACAATACGTCACTTTGGATTAGATTTCTTTTCCTAAATCCCTTATATTAAAATCTCCTCCGCCTAAACACAGCTTTGCAGGGTCATCTATCAGCTCTCTCTCTCTCTCTCTCTTTCTCTCTCTCTCTCTCCTACACAGATGACACCAGACCTTTGCCCTCCTACTGTGCCAAGTGTTTTCTTTTTAAAATTTATTTTATGGAAAAAAGGTAAAACAAAATTTCTTAACAAAATAGCAGGAGTATATCAATAGTTAATACATGGAGTACTGTTATCTTTAAAGTAGTAAATATCATGTTGTCCCCCCCGGTGTGAGAAACTGAAAGAGTAAATAAGGTTCAAAATGTAAAATAGATGTTGTAAAGCGTTTTTCCTCTGGCTCAAAGGACGGTCCTGTGCCACGTGAAGCTGGCTCCCGTGCTGGCTCTGAGGCTCCTCCACGGGAACTGAAATTCCCTCAGTGCTGTGGTCCATGGCTGTGCTTCCTCCCTAAGCACCTGAGCTGTTTACACACTGATACCTCCCTAACTGCTGAGCTAAACTGTGAGCCCCACTGGCCTGAGCCACTCACGAAAGGCTCTGGGGCTTGTGGCTCCACAATCCCTGCACCAGTGAATCAGGAAGGAGGGGGAGGCTGATCACAGTGAAGAAAGGGTCCCTGTAAACATATCATATCTAATAAGTAGGGAGAAGAAAGGAAAGGCAAAACTGACAAGATTTTCTGCCTAGAATACACCGCAGTTCTGTTGTTTGCACAGGGAGGACAGGCTGTGATTGGCCTGTTACGAAGGGATCACCTGAGCTCTGGGGAGGCTGAAGCTTGTGTGTGCTAAGGCAGTAGCGGTGTATGCCTACAGAGAAGGCGCCACGCACGCACAGACGCAGGACCGTCAGTGGCCACATGAGACAAGTACTGTGCCTGTAGGAGAAGGAACACGCTGAGTCTCCACATGGCTTCAAGGGCCTACGCTGAAATTTCACTCAGCCCAGAAAGCAACATATTTGGTGCTGCTAAAATACAAACATGTCACACCACCCTTTAGGAAAACTAACTTCTTTGCTCTAAATTGTTCTCTGTACTTTTAAATCCCATCCCTCTCACCCCCAAGGCTGTGATATACAGTCATAGCTCTTGACTGTGAAATTCTTTCCTTGTGCACACCTATGCATGTGCCTGAGAAAAGAAACACGTATGAAAATGGTAAGGGCATGGTAGGAGCCAGAAAGGAGGGGAAAGAATGTCCACCGAGGGAGACCTAGCGGCTGCCTTTGCTGATATCAAATGCTGTGCTAAGCATGCAAATAAATTCTTGCACTTAATCCTCATATCAACCCGATGAGTTATTATTTAAAATGTGGAAACTGAGATGACCTCATACAGAAGCCAGTGTGTGAGTCTTCAAAACACTTTGTTTTACCCTCAGAATCAGTGTCTGTCACTCATTGGCTGAATATCTGCAGGCACTTTCTATACTAATTGCCATGTACAAGGAGGGTGAGATCCAGCTTGTAAGGCTGTTGTGGGGATTAAGGGAAATACGTAAAGTGATTTAGGGTATTGTGTTTCTTCCCAGTTCTAGGAATAAATGTTCAAAATTTGTTTCCAGTTTACCAAAAAGTGATGTTTACATTTTTAAATTAATTATGTTTATTGATACATTTTAGGTATACACAATGATCACATTCATAAGGAATTTGTACCTGTACATGGTACATCTTGATTCTTTTTTGCATTCCCCTCCCCTCCCTTCAGCCCCTCTTCCTGTCATTTACAAAAGCCTTTTTTCCTTCTTTTCTCATGTTTTTCCTTTTCCCTTCCCTCCTTTCCCTTTTCCCGCTCCCTTGCTCCCCTTCCCACTTGAACACTTTCTTCCTGTCCCACTATATCTATTATACATTTTGGTCCTTTTTCATACTTTTGGTTTTTCACACCAGAGAAACAATGCAGTATTTGCACGTGTATGTCCGATTTATTTCACCTCAGAATATGGTCTCAGGTTGCATCCATTTAGCTAGAAATATCTCAAGCTTATCCTTTTTCATGGCCGAGTAGTACTCCTGATCTTTAAATTTAAAAATAACATAAACCCAACCCCTGATTATCTGTTCAACAATAATGAACTGCAAGGTTATCAAACCACAGATATGGACCACTCTAGAAAATCTTCAGGGGAAATCAATGAGTTTTAAGTGTTAGAATGCACTTTGCTTCAGGAAGTTTTTAGTTTGCAAGATGGTAAATTTTTACTTGACTAGAAAGATGTTTCCAGTCCTTCTAAGGACAAGGTCACCAGCTTGATTCTGCTGCCACTTTCCCACCCCTGACTGTGTGTGGGCAGAGACAGAGGAGCAGAAACCAGGGTCCCTGACTCCATAGCTAGCCGTTGCCCAGCAGCTTCAGTGAGCTGGATGTGCCTCTCCAGGAGGAAGCCAGGCGACAGCTCCATCTGCAGTCCTGAGCGCAGCGGACAGGTGGGAGAGCTCCTACCTCCTTGCCTCCTGTAGTCTAGGGAGGGGACAGGGAAGCCACCAGAAGAGGGCATGACCAAGATGAAGGAGGCAGACCCCAGTGGACCAAGAAAAACATGTGCTCCAGAATTTACCCGAAACCCTCACAGCTAACGCAGATCATTAAGGGCAGAAGAATAAAGGAATCCTCTGACAAACGTTCCAGGGGAGTGCTTCCTCAATGCAAATTTACACCCTTTCAAAATCTCCTTTTTACACGGGTACTTCGTACCTACATGTTGAGACAAATAGCCTGGTCCTTCCTTTCAGAATCTAGGTCCCTGTGCTCTTATAAAATGAACTGGCAAAAGTCAACCCTCAGACTCTGAGCCCTGGTCAAGGAAAAAACAAGAGATTCCACATCTCAACAACCCCCATCTCTAATGACAGCAGGTCAGCCCGCGAGCCTCCAGGCAGGGCAGGCAGAAGAAAGAGTCAACCTGTTCACTCTTCGGTCACTAAATCACTATCCCCTATGGATGCTTCGCAAGGCATCTGTAGGGCGTCCATTCTCCACCCAGAATGTCTTCCTTTAGTTCCCTCCACCTCCTAAATTCCAGCTTTAGGGGCTCGAAGCCACAATTTCTGAAAGGGCCACCTACGTGACTTCTGCCACACACCACACTTGGCCGCATGCTGCCAGACTCGTGGCCTCAGCTCCCTGCGGGGGACTGCGCATAACAGGGCTCACCTAGACAGGGACCCAACTGCACTATCAACACCAGGTCAGAAGGACGAAGTCTCTCCTGATCTTCACAAGGTGCCCAATAGGGTGGCTTGGCCCGGGGAGCAGGCAAAACCTTCACAATTGATGAGAATGAGGAGGCAGGCGGAAAACCTAGCTTAACAAATTCTGCTTTCCACTACGGGGAGCACGTTCCTTGAGTCAAGTCTTGGCAGGAGCGCAGCGACGCTCACAGATCCCATTCCTGACCGCGCCTCCAGTCCCCAGCCTGGGACAGGGCCCAGGAGCGGTTCTCAGCGCAGGTGACAGGAGCCTGGGCGGCTCCGCTCCGCCGCCTAGAGCCTAGGAGCTGCCACTGCACCCCGGGACGGTCGGGCAGCGCGGCGGGCGGCGACCCGTCTCGCAGGGACCCGCGGGCGCACGGCGCTGGCAGCTGGGGGTGGTGTCTGAAGTAGGGCGCTTCCTGCCTGCTCCCGGGCCGGGCCACTGGCTCGCGCTGCCAGGCTCAGGGACTCCCAGGTGGCCCCGCCCCGCCGCCCGCGCCCTGCTGGGTGCGCGCAGAGTCCCCGCCCCCAGTCCCAATCCCCACCCCGCGCGCCCTCAGGGGGGCACCCCCTCTGGGGCGGGAGGGTGGTCAGCCGTGCCCTGGTCGCCGAGTGGCGGAGAGGTTCGGTGCCTCCTTCCTATTTCCGCCGGCCAGCAGCGCGGCGGGGCGAGCGCCAGGCGAGAGGCGCTCGGTCCTCCCTCCCGCCCGCGTCGGGGGCCGGCCCTGCTCGCCAGCGCCTTTTTCCCCCGCACCGCGGCGCGCTCCGCCACTCGGGCACCGCAGGGAGGGCAGAGGCTGCAGCCGCCCGCCCGCCCGCCCGCCCGCGCGGAAGATGGTCACCTCGGCCGGACAGCTCGCCCTGCTCGCGCTGGGTGAGTACGCGCCTGCCCCCCGCGACACCCCGCTTTCCCGGGTTCGCTCCCTTTCTCTGTTCCGGGGCGTTTCTGAGCCCGCCGAGGCGAGTGGAAGGAGGCTAACGCGTTTAATGGGTTGGAGCCCGGGCGGCAAAGGGGGGTCGCTGAGAATGACAAAGAGGGGGGCTTGGAGCCCCGGGCTTGCCCGGGAAGGGGCCGCCTGGCTGGGCGGCGCGTGAGAACGCCGAGCCGGGAAGCAGCGTGCGAAGGGCTTGAACTTTAATCCGCCGCGGCGGTGTGTGCTGCGCACATGCCCGCGCCTACCTGCCTACCTGGCTGCCTCGGGGAGCCGGGCTGCGCCGGACGCGCGCGAGCCGCCTCGGAGCGGTGGCCGAGGGCGGACCCCCTGGCTGCCCCCGGCTGCTTTCCCTCTACCCCGCGCCCCGGACGAATAGAAGTTCAAGCACCCTCGATCTTCTAACTTTGGGAGCTCATGAGCTTTGGGGTAGGTTTTGGATTTTTGTGCGGATTAATCGTTCTTTTAATTAACTTCCCTGCGAGAAGTGGTTTCAGTCTCCGGCGAGGGCAGGAGTGAAATCCTAGACAGCGTTGGAGTTGGCTTTGAGTTTGTTCTTGGGAATGATCAGGTGTTGGGGGAGGGGGTTAAACCCGGGCAATGCTAGGGTCAGGTCCAGGTAGCAGGTGAAGTTGACGCGGCGGTCTGTAAGAGGTCAGGGGCGCAGTGCCACGCGCAGCCTAGCCGGCTCTTGCCCCTAGTGGTACCGGCTCTCTCTGGAGACAGCTGATTAGCAGCCAGCCCATGTGTCCCGGTCACTGCGGCAGCCTTCAGGGAACTGAATTATTCCGTCCACTGCCACTGAGTTTAATACTGTAAAGCACAGTTGCTTGCTACAGGGTCGTTATAGTTTCAGAAAAGCTTTAGGAACCCACACACACCTCCCCACAAATGCCCAGAAATGCAGCCTCACCCAGTTCCGTGTACAGTTGCACCAGGTTTAAGGACCCGCCTGCAATCCAGCCCTTGCCACGCTGATTAAGAACCTCAGCAGGAGAGGAGGCATCTTCTAGGGGAAATGTAGGGCAGTGGTGGATGGAGACGCTCCTAGCTGCACCCTCTTCTGAAACTCACCAGCAGGTGACATGACTATGGGCAGTTTTTTCTCTTCCTATTAAGAACTGCTGTGTGTGTGCGCGCGTGTATTAACTGTTGTTTTCATTTTCAAAAAAAGAAACAATGAAACATTATAGATATGGTAAAAGACTCCTGGATACCATTTCCTGACCTAATTTTTCCCAATAATAGTAATAGTAATAACAGCAATAGTTAACACTGTATAAGCGCTCACTCTGTCCGACGAGTTCTACTTTATTAACTCATTAAAGTTTTTACGTCCACCTGATGAAGGTATCCTTCTCCTTTGCATTTTGTAGAAGGAGAAGTAAAACACCTGGGACCCACAGCAGAAAGGTAGAGCAGGATTATCAAAGTGTATGGAAGAAATGTGGGTAACCTGTGGTTGGTACAGTTCCGTCTGGAGTTTAGGACTTTGCTTTAAGGAGAGAGTGTGTAGAATGCCTTGGAACTTGCTGTTAAGTTGGGTTTCCATTGAGCCCCTAGATCTCAGGACGTTTTTCAGTGACAATTAGAGGCAGAAAATGATGAAGGTAAGCAAATTGGAAGAAGTCTTTGGAAGCTGTCATCCCCGCCTCCCATCACAGTGTGCTCACCCATGTAGAAGGAATTCATTCATCATGAAATTTTTCTTTTTCGCCTGAGTGTTCTCCTCAGCTTGATCTTTGTTTCTTTTCTTAAGAAAAAGATGAATAAACATAAAAGACTGATCAGTATGTAAAAGCTAGCACATACAGTCCCAAAACGTGAATGGTTGAAGAAGTCTATTTTTTTTTAAAGACAGGAGTAATTTATACCAGTAAGGACTCCTTTTTATTTATATTTCTTTAAAAGAGAAATCAGAGCTGTTAGTTCTGTGCATTTACTAGAACTGCTGCCTCCCACACACCTCTTTGCTTTGCCATGTTTCATCCAAAGCTGCTTTCCTCACTAATTTTTCTTAAATTAGTTGAAGGCAGTTCCAGGCAAATCAGCCAGTGTTCCATCACTAAGATCTAGGAAACCTTCCTGGGGATCGTCTCAGAAGGAATTGCTTGTTAGGAGCCTGAGTTGCTGCTTAATTACTTGGAACCCAAGTGCTGATTAATGTTTTGAGCAACAGAGTGTGGAGATTGTTGCCCAAATGGCAGTATTGGAAACATAACCCAGACTCCTGTGGTGGCTGCTACCATCCCATGTCGGCTTTCCGTCACTAGTACGCAGACCTCACAGGGGCTTGGCACTTGGGTTTTACCTCTTCCTCTGTGTCCAGGGAACAAGACGTGTAGTCTTGGGCAAATTACTTAGCTTTTCGGTGCCTGGGTTTTTTGGGTTTTTTTTTTTTATCTGTAAAGCGAGGATATTAAGGTCATTGAATATATTTAATATATGTAGAATGGTGCCTGGAATGTGGTAAAAGGTTCATCTTAATGCCATCATCATTCCAGAATTACAGACCCATTGCTGGTTAGGTGAGTTCAGTGACTGGGAGAATTTGTCCATTTTAATTTTTTTACACTTTCCTGCCCCTCCCCCTCCCTAAGCCAGAAAAAATGCCTCTCAACTGAAAAACCTACCTAGGTGATTTTTGGTGAATATTGTTGGGCAGATGACAAACTCTGCTGAGTTTAGGAGTTCTTTTGGATATGGGTATCACGAGTTCTTTAATTTTTATGCAAAGCATTTACATCTCTCCTTTAAAACCCAATGATCAGCTGTCTGTCGAGGTTAGCACTAAGTTCCAGTTTTTTCATCTGTAAGTGGGAATAATAAAACTGTACCCATCTCACAGGTTGTTATAAAATCAAATGAATTAGTAAACATGGAAGTTATGTATAAACTACAAAAATAGCTACACACAAAAATGAAATTTATGACACAGGAGGGGTTTTATAAGAAACATTATTCTTGTAGCAGTTCCCACAAATAAGCCCTGGATGTAGACCTGAAAGAAGGTGGTCATGGGATGTGAAGAATGGACAGAGGTAGAATAGGTCAGCTTCCTTTTGGGACTGAGGGATCAGCAGAGGAACTGAAGTAAGACTTGTGTTTTCTCCATTCCTTGGAAATGTCACCTTTCAGAGTAGACAGTGGAGGTTTGCCTAGGACACATGTTTTCCGTACTGGGCAGTCATAATTAGGGAGTATTCACCCAGAAGTGGGCTGTAGAGGTGTACTATATGGAAGCCTTCAAGCCTGATTTTCCCCTATTTGCTTTTCCAAAATTTTGTTTCCCCAGGATCAAGGTACATTTGATCTGTCTGGAAATAATGTCCCTTGCAAAGGGTTTTTTTTTTAAATAGGAGTAAATGATGCTTTGTGTTACTAGGGTAACCTACAAAAAATGACTTTTCCATTGGACCTGTCTCCAAGGACCTTTTTGAGTGTGTTTTAAACAAGGTCCTAGTCTGTACTGCCCACTTAAGAGGACAGCAATTGGACTAACCAACACCAGCTTGCACACACTTCATTACGCATCTTGTGCTTGGTCCCATGCTCAAAGCTTCTGTAGTATCATCTACAGCCGTGTCCATAAATCAGAATCACCTGGAGACGGGTGCCCACTCAGAGTTCCTCCCATCTAAGGATTGGAGAGTTTCCTTGCCTAGCAAGTTCCCTGGTATGGCACATGCGGCTGGTAGGGAAGAGGCAGGAGGAAACTTCAAGACCCACTACTGTTCAGTTAGCTGTTGTTAGGGAACCTTTTGGCTCACCCAACTTCTATGTATCCAAAGTACATCCTGACATGTATAAATGATGCTGTGGATTTATAAGCCAGTGTTAAAGACAACTTGGAAAGCCTGTCTTACTGATCAGGTCAGAATTAGAACCCTTACTGAGATCTCTTAATTGTTTGTTCTATGTGTTCTCGTACTTTATCCATGGAAGATGCACTGGTCCTGTTATTAAACTTAATCTTACCAATATTAATCATGTCACTCTTCCTTTTTCTTCCTTTTTTTCTTTCTCTCTCTTTCTCTTGAGTGCTGAAAATTGCCCATTATTTTCCTGCCATTTCAAATATTTTTGATAACTGAATTTTATAGTATGAACTTAATTCTATGCTAAAGGACTAATATATTTAGGATTGCTTTGAATAGAGGGGCTTGGAGGTCTTTTCTAATGGCTTTGGTTTTGGTTAGCCTTTCACGTCCTTTATCAAATGGTAAGTATAAAAATCTTTCATAGAATCATGAAAGCCAGAAATCTGAACTACAACACCATCGCTTAGTAGTTTCTCAGGAACAAGACGTTTTCCCTTTAGACCAATTCTAAAAATCTGGGTCAATTCTTTTGAAGCATTAAGGATTTTTTGTATTGACTATGACTTAAATAGTTGTTACCTGACCTTAAAAAAAAAAGTTGGAAGTTTATCAACATTGAATTTTGTGTCTTTTGCTAACAGTTTGTTTTAAGTCAAAGGAATCACAATTTTTTTTCCATGGAGTCTCCTCTGTAATCAGGCGCATTCCGGGCTCCTTTGCATTTAATTTTTTGTTGTCCTCTTACTTCAAAAGGCTTTTTGTTTTCTTCAGCTGAGTGTTTGCGCTCTTCAAGTAGTTGTAGATGGTTCAGGTTTCCTCAAGAAGGGCTTGGACACATAACTCCTTTGTGTACAACTAGCCTGCTATTGTTAGGCCTTTTCATTTTAATCCTTGACTGTGTTCACATTTCTGGCTGGGAAGCTTGGGAGCAGAACCCTGGATCGTCCATGTTTTGCCTTGGTTTATGCTTCACCTCTTTTCTCTGTTAGTTTGAGCGCTTCTTCGTCAGTCTTTGTCTCTGCCTTGGGCACCTCTGAGCATGACCTCATGGACTGTCTAGTGCAGGAGACTCCAAGTACAGACTCCATGGACAAACACTGGGCTCTGTTGTTACATTAATC